CTGAGGGCAAGATGGTGCCTAGGGATATTGGATGTGTTATGCTAGGCTATCCTAAAGGGGTTAGAGGTTACATGTTGTGGATTTTAGGGAAACCTGGTATTAAGATCATTAACAGCAGGGATGTTGTGTTTAATAAATGTGAAATGCCTTGTTTAAAATCCAAACATGATGATTCTGAGGAAATTGAATCTCACGAGAAATTTCAGATTAAGGCGAAGTTGGCAAAATATGACTTCACTCACTTTGATGAGAATGAACCTGTAAGTGTTGAGGTTTATGTGCCTCATGGTGAAAATGAAATGGAAACTAATACCCCGATAATTGAAGAGAATTGTATCCAAGATTACAAATTGGTTAGGGATAGAGAAAGAAAGCAAATTAAGAATTGGAGTTTGGTTAATTTGCTTAATGGTCAAAGAACAGTGCAATGTAAGTGGATTTACAAACTAAAAGAGGGTTTGACTACATTGAGATATTTTTCTCTCGTCATTGAATATAAAACAATAATTAGACTGATTTTAGCATTAGTTGCTTAATTCATTTGGGAATGTGAACCACTAGATATGTGAAAGAATGCATTTTGTTGAAAAGCATTTTGTGTGATTTGAATTTTCTGTATGATACTTTTATTACTCTCATTGTTAGTCAAGTTACATTGTTGGTTATTACAAATCTTGTCCATTATGAGAGGTAAACATATGTCAAGGTGAAGTATCATTTTAGAAGATAAGATAGCTTAAGGTGAAGTTAATCTTGAGAAAATTCATGTTGATGAATGTCCATTTGATATGACACTTAAAATGATTTCAACTAGTATGTTTAAATTTTGGTTTATCAATTCCGTATATTGATAATGGATAATTCTTTTGCAGGTACCAGGGGATGATGATGAGTAAGTTTGAATTCGCACTATTGCATATTGGGGAATGTTTGCATTTTTGGAACCAAGGTGAAGATTGAAGGTTAAAAACGTGTTTCCAAAAATGCAACTCTTTAAGTGATTGAAGCCACATGGCAACCTCCTGTTGGCCTATTCTTTTGACACCAGATCGTGCTTTCTAATATGAATTGTGAACCATAGATTTTAATCAATGGTTGGGATCATTCCAAGAAAGTATTTTTGTGGGTTGACCGTGGTTTTTGGAAGAACTCTCTCATTATTTTCTTCCTAGGCTTTCGAAACTCTCTCTCTCTCTAAAAAGTCTCAAGTGTATCTTTCTTCTTCCACTTTCAATTTTGTGGTTGTGATATAGAGAGGAGTTGTAACCCTATGTGCTCGATCTTGTATAGTTGCCTTGAGTCTGTTTATTGGCTGGTTTGATGAGGCATATATGTTCGATTTTGTATAGATCGATTAGGGTTAATTCTTGAGGTTTTAGAGGCTGAAAATAGTGGTGTTGTTGTTCTCGGTTATGAGTACAATCTGATTGTGTACTACTTGTAAACTAAGGCGCAGTGCATTCCATTCAACGGGCTTACCCCTGGGCCCCCTAGATTAACCCTTCTTTGGGTAAACTGGGTCACCAAGTTTTGGTGTTCGTGTTCTTTAATTTTTTGCATGTTATTACTTGTTTGTGATGCTATGATTTTTGCCGATTGATAGATGTTTTTGGTTTGACTGAATGGCTAAAAATATAAAATTATTGAGGTAAAAACAAATCTGGGACCAATAATCCTAACAGTTTGTTATCCCAAAGTCCCTTTGGTATTTCTTCATCATGGATCTTTGAATTGGGTGCTTCCAAACATATGTCATCTAACTTAAATTTCTTTAATGATTTACACTCTTTTAACTCATCTATGTTTGTTATAACTGCTGATGGCACCCTACTGCTAGGTATCAGCTTTGTCAGCACACATAATTAATCACTTTCAGGCATTTATTGTGTTCCAACTCTTACTTTAAATCTTGTTTCTATAGGCCAATTATGTGAATCTGGATACTTAGTTCAGTTTTCTTCAACTGCTTATCATGTGCAGATCCTTGATCATAGAAACTGACTGGGATAGAGCCGTAAATAAAGAGAGTTATATGTTCTGGACAATCTGAATCCATCACATGTTGAAGCATCTAGTGTCGGCTTGTCGTCTTTTTCTTTGAATTCTCCTTCTTTTAGTTTTTATTTGTGGCATTCTCGTCTTGGACAAGTTTTCGCTAGTCATTTGAAATTTTTAATGTCTAAAGGTCAATTGGGAGATTTACAAACTCACGATATTTTTTATTGTAATGATTGAAATTAGAAAAAAAAAATTTGCTTTACCTTTTCCTCGAAGTATTTCTCGTTCTATTGCACCATTTGATCTTGTTAATTCTGATGTATGGAGACCTTTTCCTATTGCTACAAAAAAAAAAGGATCTAGATATTATGTGTCTTTCATTAATGATTATAGCCGTTATTGTAGGGATTATCTTATGAAACGACTTCTGACTTTCTCTCTATTTATCGTTTTTTTAGAGCACTTATTAAAACTTAACATTCTACTATAATTAAGTACTTTCAATGTGATATGGGTGGAGAATATACTCCTCCAAATTTCATTAAATTGCTTGCTCTCAATGCACAATTCATCAAAGCTCGTGCACTAACACCTCACAACAAAATGCTTTTGTCGAACGATAGAATAGACATGTTGAAATTGCTTTACTTCTCTTATTAGACAAAATTCCCAGTGAATTTTGGGTAAAAGCAGTTTTTAATGCTATTTTTCTAATTAATAAGATTCCATCTCTCTATACTTCAGGCTTCACATCTTTTGAAACGTTGTTTGCGTATCCTCCCGATTGCTCCAATTGAGAGTCTTTGATTGTACTTGCTTTGTTATTCATCCAGACGTAGAACGCAGTAAGTAGACATCTCACTCTGCTATATGCGTTTTCTTAGGTTATGGACAGGGCCAAAAGGGTTATCGCTGTGAAGATCCCATTAATAAAAAATGATATGTTTCTTATCATGTTGTGTTTCTTGAGCATATCTCATTCTTATCTATTTCTGATAATACTCATGATGTGACTAAAACTGACTTCATTCGTGAAGATCAATTCTTTGATGATATTGATAGACCATTTTTTCCATATCCCATGTACCATTTATTCTTCATGTCCTACAGGTACATATGCACTAGCTAATGATATTCTTCTTCCTTCTATGGCCTCCCAAGCATCGCCTGAGATATCCAGCTTGTGCTTCCTTCCTCGATATCCTCAATGTATTCATAAGTTCACTCGATTACATGGTTTTGCTTATTTTTGTTATTCGAAGTCTTTTTTCTAATTTCTTATCTTCATTCCCAAGCTATCTGAACCTCCTTCCTATAAAGAGCTACTCTAGATCCTTTTTAGCAACAGGGTATAACTGATGAACTCTTTGCCCTTCATAAAACAGACATTTGGGACTTAGTTGGCTTACCTTCAGATAAACATACTATTAGTTCTCGTTGGATTTATAAGATTAAAATAAAATTTGACAGTTTAGTTTAGCATTATAAGGATAGATTGATTGCTAAGGATTTTAATCAGCAGCTTTGTCTAGATTATGAGGAGACTTTTACACTTGTTGCCAAAATGACCACTGTTCGTACACTAATTGCAGTTGGTTGGTTTATCAGTGGGGTCTCTCTCAATTGGATGTCACAAAAATGCCTTTCTGAATGGACATCTTCAAGTGGAGGTTTATATGGTTCTCTTTCAGGTCTTTCTGATATTTTTGGATATGTTTGTAAGCTCAAGAAGGCACTTTATAGCCTCAAACAGACTCTTTGTGTCTGGTTTGAGAAATTTTTCACTGATGTTACCTCTCTTGGCTTCACATCCAATCATCATGACTTCGCACTATTCTTTAAGTGTACTCAGCTGGTTGCATTATGCTTTTATTGTTATATGATTATTATTGGTGATGATGTTGATGGGATTGCTAATCTGAAATCAAAATTGGCTCGTCGTTTTGAAATGAAGGACTTAGGTGTATTATCTTATTTTTAGGGAAACGAAATTGTTTCTTCTCCTAGAGGTTATATTTTCTCTCAATCCAAGTTTACTATGGTTGTTATTGAGTGTGCTCGTCTAACTAATACTCCTCTTAAATCCAATGCTCATTATTCACCATCTAATGATGTACCCTTAACTAATCCTACTTTGTATCGCGCCATTGTTCGATGTCTAGTTAATCTCACCATCACACGTCCCCATATTCCTTATACTGTTTACATTGTTAGTCAGATTGTTTCGGTTCTTACTACAATTCATTGGGTAGCTATTATTCGTATTTTATGCTATCTTCGTGGTACTTACTTTCAGAGTCTTTTGTTTCCCTTGACCTTTCCTTTGGTGCTTCGTGCTTACTCTGATACTGATTAAGCCAGTAATCCCATTGATCGAAAGTCTACTACTGGCTTTTGTATATTTTTTAGTGATCCCTTATCTCTTGAAAGAGTAAGAAACAAACTATTGCTTCTCATTCCTCTATTGGGGTAGAGTATCGTAATATAGCATCTACCATCACTGAGATTATATGGCTGCGTTGGTTACTTGTAGACGTGGTTTTTCCTTCTTCCTCTCCAACCCCTATGTAATATGACAATAAAAGTTCTATTCAGATATCGCACAACTCTATTTTTCATGAGAGCACAAAGGATTGACTCTCATCTAATCCGCCATCATCTACAAGCTAGCACAATTTCCCTACATTTTGTTTCTTCCTCTTTGTAGATTGCTGAATTCTTCACGAAATCTCATCCGATTCCATTGTTTTCGCTTCTTGCTTGACAGACTCTGGCTGCTTGTATGTGTATATATATATATATATATATTATTATTATTATTATTATTAGATTTCCTTTTATTATTGGCCTTCAAGAATTGGTTCTTCTTCTTCTCTTCTTTTGGTTGATTTATCAAATCAAAGTATTATAAATAAATATTAGAACTATATTTTGGATTATAAAATGGGATAACCATGAAGAGATTAACATATCTGTTTATAGACAGAAGAACAAGGAAGAACCTTGGAAATGGACTGTTTTTTACAGCTTTCTGTCCATATTTGCGCCATCTGTAACCATCTTCTAGATGATCAACTTCACTTTTAGTAACAAATGCAAAACGTGGCAGACGAATTCGCTTTTGTCCCTTTTTTCTAGCCTTGCTCCTGCAGAATATTCAACCATGAGTTTCAACGTCCACTTGATTTCTTGAAATCAAGGAAATGGAAAGCTGGCAGCAATGATTTAACCTATGATGAAAAAGGTACAATGTACATTCTGAAAGTCACAGGTGCAAACAGATCATTAAATTAGATCGAAATGATAGGTTCTCACATATCCCTTGTAATTATACTCTTTACTCAGTCTCCAATCCCCCGCTCCCCCACCCCCGGGTACTAATAAGCACGAAACAATCCTGCTACATTGTTGAATATTTTTTGACAGAGTGCCAACTCTCAAAATTTAATTGACCATTGGACAAAAAATACATGACAATCAGTCTGTTGCCACCTGTATATATATGTATGTGAAGAGTTATGCTATAATGAGAAAGGAGTTTGACAAAATTGGATGACAAAGTTGGATCTACACCAATTATTTCAAAAATAGATTTTTAAATCATTTGAAATTAGCGGCATGAATTCCTCCAACACACTTTTTAAAGCCACTTTTGTAACCCAACTTTGTTGAAATAGAATTATTGGTATATGAAAATCACTATACATTTTTCCTGTACAAGAGATTAAGTCTTAAAATTTTGTTCATTACCCTATCAAATGTACAGCGTACTCAACAAAATAATTCAAAACTTAGCTTCTAAAACCAAATGCTCTCAGAATGATCAGACCACGTTAAGACTAGTGCAAGATACTGGTTCCCAAAATCTTTAAAACCAAGCATTAAGATGGAGCAACATGCCAAGCAACTTGTGAAGCATGCATATTTTCTCTTCCCCATTTTCTACTTTATTAAAAAAATATAGATGAAACAAAAGGCAGAATAAAATGACTTTTCATGTGCAGTACAGACCAAAAATGCAATTATTTCTATTATAGATTTCTGAAGTAATGAAAAAAAAAAATTTGATAGTGAAGACATTATTGAGATTTTATAGCTTTGTTTGGTGGGAGAAAGTAAGATTTTATGTACATACATATATTTTATTTTTTTCTGGACGAGATGCATGCATCGTCATCTTCATTTTTTAAGCAAAAAAGTACCATGTAGCGTATAATTTGTGTAATAAATTTGCCTTTCTTCTGGAAAAGTAAATAAAAGTTAAAAAAAGAAAGGAGTGTTATAGCACGCCGTTGCCGCCGCAATAACGGCTGTGGTTGATCCACGATATTCTTTTAACAAATACCCGCAAAAGCCCCCCTCAATTTTGGTTATATTCAGAAATACCTATGCCCCAAATTGCGTGCAAAAAACAATTTTGATGCTTCTATACTCTCTCTGCAGAAACTGTACGGACATGATGAGGAATAAGCATTTTCTGTGTGCTCTAGTGTTCTACCTGTTGTTGCCAGTTCGATTTAATTAATGAATTTCGTTTTTCATATTTTTGCCCCTTGAAAAAGCACATGTGCATGCACTACACTACCCTGCACTCACGCTGTTTCCGCCGGCGGCTTGGCGGAGGGGCCACCAGATGCCGTCGACTTCTCGGGCAGATCCTCCGACGAGCTCGAAGACACCGATGCCTCCACTTTTTCCTCCACCGCCGTCTGTTCAGTAATAGTTATCTGAGGAGCGGAAACTTTAGCGTAATTACTTATGCTATCTCCACCAAGATTGGAGTCTATCTGATCTGAATCTCCGAAACCATAGTTAGATTCTGCCGGAAAATTCCACCCGAACTCACCGAGTATACTAGTCTCCTTGTCGTTTCCAAAGAAAAACTCATCTCCTCCACCGGATCTCCAGCTAGACTCAGTCGTCAACTCAGGATCCACTTTCATCTTACCATCCATATTTACCCTCGCAGCTATATATACATGGATAAACCAATATTTGCGTGAAAATATTGAATCGGCAGCAGATTATTGAAAATGAAGGAAAACGCGGAGAGAGAAAGCTAGGGTTTGGAGAGGTGTGAGAAAGAGAACGCGTATAAAGTAGAGCTGTTTTTCATTTGATTTTATGATCTTTTTGAAAGCGTTGTCGTGTCAATGCACAGAGTGAGAGATTAGTATTATTATAGAAAGATAAGATAAAAAAATCACCGTCGAGTGCCAACCTCCAAATAGTACAGTGGCAAGGAGAGGAGAGGCTGAAATTTAAGCAAATCAGCAAATCACATGACAGAATGATACTAAAGCATGTTTGGCAATGCTTAAAATTATATTCACTTATTTTTATTTAAGATTTATGTCGAAATTCAAAGTTGAATAAAGTAGTAAGAAAGAATAATCAAAATTTTTAGGTAACATAAAAGATCAACTCAAAATTTGCCAACTCTTCACTAGTCATAACGCGTTCTAACTATTTTGTTCTTTTTTCTTTCCGTATAATAGTACTGTTTCTCATGTTTTTTCTGTCGAGTAGATATACAACTATGATTAAAAGCTATTTCTTTATCAAGCAAGTTATAAATTATTCTGGAAAATAAATTGTTAGTAACAAGTGACTTGCTTGTCAATTAAAAATTAAAAAGTTTTTTCAGATTTACTTGGGTGGCGAATCAGGTGGGAAGGCCCCCACTCCTCAGGATTAGTCAAGCGAAGTTTGGACATCTGAGTTATTAAAAGTTTTTACTATTTTTCATTTTTTTTAAAGTTATAAGTGTATATTCATGTCAGTTTGAATTGTGAAAGTAAAATCGTGTCATCTTATTAAAGAAATCGAAATTGGAATTTTTTTTTTTTTTTTTTTTTTTTTTTTTATTGTATGTACTATGTTGTATTGAGTGATGAGAATATTAGGAGCATTGTGAAGTTAATAGTTATTGTATATAAGTTTCTATCAATCTCAATGTTTGTTTATGAATGTAGGCAGTTCATTGATTATAATATGAATTAACATACTACTTTACTTCTATTACCAGCCTTGATATAAAATTGAGATCAAATTTACAAGAAAAAGGTATGCAAAATATATATCAACCTTCTTGAAATATTTCCCGAGACTAGTGATTAGGCTCGTGTCATGTGAAAAATTAGGGAAGATAATCAAGTCTACTTCCAAGCAAGTCGTCTATAAAAAGAGTCCATTGTGTTTTTTGGCCTTCGTAGATAATTATACCGGAGAGTATTGTTCTTTACGTCTTACATGGGCCTCTGATCTATCTATACCAAGGTCGAAGTCTCACAATCTGAGCAGATTTAGTTTCAATATCCATTTTGACTAATTCTTTAGTTGAAGGTATTGATGCCATAACACAACATAACTCAATCCACTTTTCAACACTTCCTTTAGAAAATCTTATTAAGAAATTAAATAAAAACTTAAATGAACAATTTATTATCCATATTGACTCAACTGTATATTTTGCTTCTATATTTATTATGTGATTAATTCATTTACATCCTATAGTAGACTGATTTTCTATCATTTTCACGATAATTATTATCTCAGACACTTATTTAAAGTAGATTTACATTATAAGAGCCCACCATTGGAGTGGTGATGTCGATACCTCAACCAAAATTTGGATTCATTAAATTGACTCATTCATGTACCGGGACCATTGTTGTCAAAGGTGAAGAAAACAAGAAGCTGTATATAAATTTTGATTTTGATTATGTAATTATGATACTTAAATTTATTTGAGATAATTATATTGTCATTTTAATCATATAATGGTAGAATTCTAATTATTGAATATTGGAATATTTTGCATTAAACTTTAATAATATTTAATGATATTAAGGTCTCATGTAATATATAGTAAAATGAACTACTTCAATATTATTTTAATTTCATTTATTTAATGGGAATATTATAGAGCTTACTTATCACCCGTATGTTACTTATACTAAAACAGAACTACTAATACTTTGAGCTCTATCCCCTACTTGTCTACCATTATTCAATGAAAATGAATTTTGGAATAGTTAAATTTTGAAAAATGTGGATTAAGAAGTAGGAAAATACTTTGGGCTTACATGCAAAATATTTTATTGTGAGAATGTGTGGTTAAAAACGAGTTTAAGCAAAAAGAGTGAAAATAACAGAAGACAAATAGGGGCTTAGTGTGCAAGCAGACTGCTATTATGGTTGATTGCATACCCATATTAAAACTACAGAGGTGTGAAAAGACTTAGTCTCACATTGAGGCGAATATTTATAAATCTTGTATATTCTTGATTGTGTATTTTTATTTCTTTGAATTGATTTCTCTCGATGAAATAGAATTAGGATTTATAATTCTTAACAATATATCTATTCGACTTTAAACTCAATTCATACATCGAATCGAGCCCCAAAAAAAAAAAAAAAAAAAAAAAACTCTAGCTATATTATTGCGTTTTTACAACTGCAAATAAGTGAAACAATTTAGTAGGGCATCAGGTGTATCAGTATCATAGGCGGATCTTAAAACAGTTAAAATAATTCATTAAATAAGTTTGAAAATATATTTTTATATTCAAAGTTCAAATAAATATATAAATATGTAGCCTCTATAATATCTTAAACTTTTGATTAGGTGGTTCAATCAATGTCATAATAAGTTGGCTACATCAATTGCTTCAAATCTTATATCGGTCCAATTACATTAAAAATTTAAAAAATATTAATATAACCTAAAAACCAGTTGGCTAACAACAAAACAACCTAGTTCGCCATCAAATCAGTCCACTCACCTCTAAATTATTTTTGCAGTTTTTTTACAATCGGGTCAGATGTTCAACATTTTGATTAGAGCCGTGCTTGATGGCCAAGATAGACCCCTCACCAATAGGGGGGCGCCGAATGGCCTGGGCTCACAGGGGCTCTGGCTAAGTATCTTGACCCTTTTGATTATAAACCTTTTACCAATTTTAGATTAATATCCACGGCAAGTTTAATATGTCCGGTTCAAAATCAGAGTAGTAAACATGACCTACTAACGTCTTATCGTCTGGCATTTATGAAAATTGTACATATAAACTGTAGAGAAAAGGGAAAAAAAATTAAGATCATTTAAACAAATTGAGATGCCCCCACTACATGGAAAAGCAGTGGCTGTTGATGGTTGGAGCCTTTTAATTATTTGGAATCTTTTAGCATTTTACACGACAAATACAAAAAGAAAAGCAATGGAATATATAAGTGGTATACTATATCTATTAGGAAGTGCAGCAATGGTTAGGGATGGACAAAATGATCATATCAAATTAAAACTAAATTAAATCGAGTAATTCGATTCGATTTGATTCTATAAATAAAAAAAAATGATTTTGGATATTTAGAATTGAGAATCGAACTCAATTTTTATTATTTTTCTTTTTACAAATCAATGAATCATACCAAAGAATTCAACTTCGAAAACTACCAATGTGAAATGGTCATTTACCTATATTTTATCTTATCACCTATTACACAAAGTGACCAAGCCTTAAATCTAAATTCTAATTTATTTCTCTTCCTTTCAATTTTAGTCACACAATTGCACTCCTACACCGTATCTGCCGTCTACCTTTGCCATCCTTAGCCACCATTGCCACATTGATTCTGACTTATGAATATTGTGATAGATTTTAAATTTTCACTTATTATTTGAAAATTTAAATAATGGAACGAGAACCAAACCAGAATATATATATATTTCCATCGAAAATTAGAATCAAATGGATCTGTATCCACCCCTAGCAACAGCCCAAATAAAAAAAATATTTTTTTTGTTATACTGCCTATTTAATAGCCATTTATGTTTTTTAATTTAAATTTTAGTTGAAGACTGGGAATTTTGTGAACCCGAAAATTGTTGATTGTTCTTTTGTTAGTGGATTTTTGCAGGTTATGTTGATGTTTCCTCAAGTTGGGTTTCACTACCTTATAATTTTGGTGTCCATTGTTCAATCTTTATTTTATGTTGATCATGACTTTATTCCATTTACTAAATAACACTCTCTTGGATAGTATGGAGGTGGTCGTTGTGGAGAAGATAGAGGGTTTTTTTATTTATTTATTTTTAATTTTTTTAGGAGTCATTTGCACTTTAAGAAAAATTTGGAGTCATGGATGCAATATTAATTCTTTACTGTTTCTTCTTTTCTATTCCTTTTTTATTTAAAGAGTAGGGTAAATTCGTCATTTTACAAGAAAAAAGGGGACAAAAATGTTGTATCCCGCAAGGTTTGATTGATTTAGGAGGGTTTTACATCACGACATGTAAACATTATGTCGATCAAATCATTAATCAATCCTTGAATTCACTTATCCATTTGATCAAACAATTAATGGATCGTTTACCTAGTGACGATCGTAAGGTTCTTTGTAATGCCCCGAAATTTTTATAGAACAAAATTTATTTATTTTGTATGCAATATATTTATATTTTGAAGTTGAGGGACTAAAGTGAAATAATTTAATTTTAATGTTATTTTGGCCAAATAATTAAATTTTAATAGAACAAGTTTTCGTGTATCAATATTGGACTCTTTTTGTAACTCGTAATTAATTATAATTCTTCAACACGAGAAAGAGATATTTTGGATTAGACTACATTGAGTTGAATTCGATTAAAAGAATAATAAGTTAATAGAGTTGGTGGGGGCTTGCAATATTAATTAAATAAAATTCTTTTTTCTCTTTTAATTCCTACCCCCATGCAATTTATAGAAACCAACACTATAGTACAATTCAAATAACTTTTTAAAACCAAGTACAAGTTGGTCAAGTGTCCTATTTTTAATGGGATGATTGTACCAATAAAACCAATAGTAAAGTATACTCTTAACTCTACCATTTGAAATTAATTCTTATCCAAATTTCTTGTATTAGACGATTTTTCAATTCTAGTTACGTACAAACTCATTTGAGAATTTCAACTATAAATACAACAAGAATTCCTATTATTCATCACAGAGAATAAAGAGAGTCATAATAGAGAGAGAGAGAGAGAGAGAGAGAGAGAGAGAGAGAGAGGAAAAAGTATAGAAAAATAAGAGGTAAATTTTTATGCGCAAATTTATTCTTTCTAGCATTTCAAAAATCAAGGTAAGATACTTTTGCACAAGTAATTTTTTTTATTATGTTTCTATGTA